GGGAAGCCGAGAGTGGTCGCAAACGTTACACACCCGATGTTGCAGTGCAAGAGAATATGCTTTTTCCAAGTTTTGAATCTTTGGAAGTTGCAATCACAAAGGATTGCATAAAGGATCTCAAAGTATGGACCCTTGAGTACAAACGAGAGCGCTCCATGGCTTGCCGATGTTGGTACCATGATGGGAATCCACGGTGTTATTGGCGTGCACAAACGGCGAAAGGGAAGAAATCAGACCATTGGTTATTAAAGAACTACCATCAACGACACACATGTCGTCCTGATTACTCTCATGGAGGTGACGACCGCAACATAACAAGCCAATTCATAGCCCGGATGCTTTTTAGGAAATTGCGTGTTGACCCGGAATACAAGGTAAAGTTAATTCGGCACGTGGTGACTGAACTTTACAAGGTCCCTGTGTCGTACAAAAAATGTTGGCTTGCTAGGCTTATTGCCTCAGAAACATTGTGCGGAAGTTGGAAGAACTCATACAAGCAAGTCCCAATTTTGCTACAGGCTTTGGTTTCTTCTTATCCGGGAACCGTGGTGGATTTTGTATGCACCTCGCCACCAACAGACCTAAACACCGAGCCCGTAATTGGAGTGAATTTTAAGTATGCATTTTGGGCTTTTCCAGCGGCTATAAATGGATTACAGCACTGTTTACCCGTGGTGACCGTTGACGGGACGCATTTGTACGGCAAGTATAAGGGCCATCTTTTACTCATAGTTGCTTTGAATGGAAACCACAAGATATTCCCCCTTGCATATGCCGTAGTTGATGGGGAAAGTACTGATAGTTGGTCATGGTTTCTATGATTGGTAGCTCAAAAAATTATAGTTGGGGCAAGAGTTTGTGTCATTTCCGATAGGCATGGCGGTATCATCAACGCCTATCGCGATGTGGAAGAGCTTCAAACAAGAAACATAGTAAAGCGTTTCTGTCTACGTCACATACGTAGTAACTTTAATTCAAAGTTTCACAACAAGAAACTCAAGGACCTCATGTGGTCGGCAGGGAGTACTCCGAGTGTCCAGGAATTTCAAGACTGTATGCAGGAAATTCTAGGTCAAAGTGAACACGCATATAAATATCTTGTTGAGATTCCACTACAGTTGTGGACGCTAGCGTACTACGATGGGATTCGATGTGGGATACTTACCACGAACAGTTCAGAGAGCTTTAACAATATGCTAAAAGGTTGTCGGATGTTACCGGTGAGTGCTATTATCATGATGTCGTACCAAAAACTCGTTGATTCTTTTGAGTCACGTCGTAGGTCTTGTTCGGATTGGCAACGAAAAATCTTTGGTTTACTCCAAAGATTTTGAAGATCTCTGAAGCGCAGTAAAAAAATAAACAAAACTTTCAAGCAATGCATTATGGCGGACATCAATACGTTGTCTCTAGGGCTTCCATCTCTAACCTAGGGCATATGTACAACTTTGTGATCGACTTGGGGAATAAGTCATGTACTTGTGGACAATGGCAAGGAGACGGTATTCCATGCGTGCATGTACACTCTTTGTTCCATTCTTTCAAACAATGTGCGGATGATTGTGTCTCTCACATGTACCGTGTGCAACGATATCAGATGTGTTACACTAGCCAAATTAGACCGGTGATATTTCCAAATTATTTTAATTAGGCAGAGTATCAGGTATTGCCACCGATAAGGCCTGAAGGAGAAATATCGCGTTCCGGTCGCCGTAGGCAAAAACGCTTCCAGGGGAAATGAGATGAAATGGACAACGGAAGGATAAAAAACGCTTCCAGGGGGAATTTATGTTGTTTTTAAATATTCAATGTATGTTTTGTTTTAAATATGCAGTGTTATGTTTAATTTTTTTTTATCGTTTTTTGTTGTCTTCTTAATATTTAGTGTATGTTATTTTTAAATATTAGTTTATGTTGTATTTAAATATTCAGTGTATGTTTTTTTTAAATAGACAATGTTATATTTTTTTGTGTTATACAAATTGTAGTTTCAACCATTGCACCATACATTTGATTGTGTTATACTCTATAAAATTAACGTTTGAAGAACAACTTGTGCTCGCTGAACACAGTTTTAATTAGGGAGTCAAAGTTGTGTTCGCCGAACACAACTTTAATTGGAAAAAAGTATTTCGTATTTGTTGAATACGGTTTATATTGTTAGGAATCTCACATTGAGATTCTACACTGATCCGTAATTGCTCCAAAAAGAGGCGTGCGTAAATCAAAATGAAAACGCATAGTGTTAGAGGTTGTTTTGATCCATTGGCTCCGTACGCTGAAATTCAATTTGAGTAGCTCGGTTTTGATTTGTCTTCTTCCCTCTTTCCGGCAATTCTTTTTGAATAAGATGGCGAAGATGATGGTGCAATGGGTGCCACCGAATGCCCGGATTGTGCTCTGTGTGGATTGTGCTCTTCGATTGTGCCGTCGCAGATATGACGCTGCAGATATGCTGCCGCTCCGCCGCCTCCCTGATCGAGCTGAGCCTGACACACCGTCGACGCCAATGCAGTCTTGATTGCGCTGGCCTACTTCGCAGGTGTATTTCTCCTCATCTACCTCCTCCACCGGCTTTTCATCCGCCTTCTACGGCCTGAGGTGGAGGAAGCCGCTCCTGCCGCCGCTGCACCACCTGCTGACGCTGCACCACCTTCTGATGCTGCACCACCTGCTGCTGTTGCACCACCTGCTGTCCCAGCCGCACCCTTGTGTGCGGTGTGCTTGTCCGACGGGATAGTGACAACGAGGTTCTGTGGCTGCCATTGTGCGGACATGCATTCCATTTGGAGTGCATTCTGAAGTGCGAGCGATGTCCTCTTTGTTGCTCGGCGGTCAATCCGACCGCCAGGGACATCGAGATGGCAATCCTCCACGACCCCTACTATATATATATGTTACATGTATATATTAATTCTCAAAGTTTCTATTCCTAAAAAATTTCAAACTTACGTATGTAAGCATTTCATTTTTTATAAACAATAATACCTAAAAAGCATAATTTTAAGATATTTTTCTTATTGATTGAACATAGTGACCAAATTAATATATTTTTTTGTGACTTTGATGCATTTAATCTTACGAATTGATAACTCTATTTTTAAAATGAAATCAAATGTTCGGGAGGCATCAATTATGATATTGACGAATAGATATTGACCTAACATCTGAATTATGTAATGGGATAAGATTAATCGTTGAAGAGCTGCGAAAAATGTTATCAGTGCAATTGTGGTTTAAAAAAATTGAGTTGGGAAAACGATTTACATCCATAGAGATACCATCTGTCCGAGGATTACCCCTGAACTTCTAGAGAAGACAATTTCTGATCGTCTTATGTTTGGCTATGACTATTAACAAAAGTCAAGTTCAAACATTATCATTTGTGTGATTATTTTTAACAAATTAGTGTTTACACACGGTCAGCTTTACCTTTCTGTTTCATGAGTGAACACAAAGACACTACTAAAAGTCTAAAAATAATAATTCTAGGTGATAATGAAAATCCTTGCAACCATAACAAAAATGTTGTATACCATGGATAAAAGTAATTTTACAAAATTTAGTACCATAACAAACTTTGATGAGTCTACGTTCAATTCCTCAAATGATATTTATTCCTCTTTGGCATTTTTATAAAAACTATTACAAAACATGCGAGAGATATATTTTCTTTATTACGGTGAAAAAAATGCATTGAAAAATATAATTTGAATTAGCAAAAATTTTATTCGATCCCGTGCGTGGCACGGGTTAAACACTAGTCCTTTAATATAATAAAGGAGACTCGGATTCACGAGAATGCGACATTTGGCATGCCTATTTGGCAAAAATTGAACACGTCAGTGAGCCACGTAATAATAGTAAAATTAAAAGAAAATTTGCTACGGACTGCACCAGCGGATCTCCATATCCTTTATTTGGTTATTCCACTTGACCGCAGAAGTTTCTGCGATAATTGCTGGTCTTCAAAAATTCTTTCCCTCGACGTTCGCTGGCTGAAGATCTACCGAGATGACTACCGAAGAATTTTGAATTCAAAAAAATTCCTTTCCTTCTATGGGATTCGCTGTATGATTCCTAAATCCTTGGCTGAAGATTAGGGATTTCTATATGTGAGAAATCAATCGCGAGATGAAGCCTTCAAAATTTGGTAAGTCCGAATTAAAATTTGCTAAGCCTTCACAGCAAATCACACGATTATTCCTTCAAAATTTGGTAAGTCTGATTCACAAATTTTGTCTTGGAAAGTCCTATTCACGATTATGATTTAGCTACCAAATTTAGGAGATTTGTATCAGGATGAAAAAGGTGCTGCCTCATATCATTAGTCAAAACCATGGTGCATTTGTAGAAGGAAGAGAGCTAATTCAAAATGTCCTCCTATGTCAAGAGATGGCTAAAGGGTATAACAGAGCTGGAATCTCAGCTAGATGCATGTTGAAGCTAGACATATCTAAAGCATATGACTCTGTAAGTTGGCAAGCTTTAGAGCAAATAATGATCTACCTCAAATTTCTTGGGCAGTTTGTCAAATGGGTCCACTTCTGTGTTACTACAGCTTCTTATACAGTGTGTATAAATGGAGAAAATAATGGCTTCTTTAAAGGGAGAAGAGGGTTAAGACAGGGCGACCCCATATCCCCTTTATTGTTTGTCCTAGTAATGGAGTATCTAACTAGAGTATTGAAGCAGTATGCAAAGAAGAAAGGGTTCAGATATGATCCTGGGTGTAAAGAATTAAAAATAGTGAACCTGTGTTTTGCGGATGATCTGATCATTCTCTGTAGAGCTGATGAAAATTCTATTAAGTATATCATGGAGGCTATGAGACATCTAGAGAGTACAACAGGCCTGTCTATCAACCTGAGCAAATCACAAATTGTAGTGGCAGGAGTAAAACAGGGGGATAAAGATAAGCTGCTGAGTATTTCTAATATCCCGGAAGGAAAGTTACCTTTCACATATCTAGGATGCCCCATTACATCCAACAGACTGTCAGCTAATAACTGTGATATACTTGTGGAAAAACTAGCAGCTAGGATCACGAGCTAGAAAACAAAACATTTATCGTATGCTGGAAGGGCTAGGTTAATATCCTCTGTACTTATGGGGATTATTAATTTCTCGACAAGGATATTCCTAATCCCAGGGAAGGTAATGAAACAAGTCCAAGCATTATGTAGGAACTACTTGTGGGGGGCTGAGGAGAGTTATAAAAAGTCCCCATTGATTAGTTGAGAAGACACCTATAAACCGAAAAATAAAGGGGGGTTGGGTTTTAGGAACCTAACAGCCTGGAACAAGGCTCTTATTATGAAGCTCAATTGGGATCTAGCAAATAAGAAGGACAAACTTTGGGTTAGATGGATCCACTCCAGGTACATCAAGGGTGAAGGGTTTTGGGAGTATATGCCCAAATATGATGCATGCCATTATTGGAGGAAAATGGTCAAGGTGAGACAGGAGTTTGCAGCTATGCCAATCTCCGAGGAATATAAACCAGAGGAGGGATACACTTGGCTCATGGGACAAACCCCAAAAGATGCATGGTGTGATATTGTCTGGAATAGGTTATCTATACCTAAACACAGTTCTTTGCGTGGTTACTATTGAAAGGGAGACTCCAAACAAAGCAAAGACTTAGCAGATATATATCGCTTAACACAGCATGTATGTTATGTGAGAGTGGTACTGAAGACATCGAACATCTTTTCTAGAAGTGTGATTATATACAAAACTTGTATGGGAACATCCTACCAGGGCTAGGATGTGGGGTAGGAGGAGAGTCACTACAAGACTTTTGTGTGAAGAATTTGAGAAAAGGATCCAGAAGGGAGAGGGCAGTATGGACAACAGCGTGGGCAGCTATTTGCTACACAGTTTGGAAGGTGATGAACAAGAAGTATCACACACAAGAGCTTTTTGATATTAAAAATAGCTTATCTTATATATGGTTTAATCTTAATACATACATATATAACAAAAAAGTGTATTAGATTGGAGGTAGAGCTTGATTAGCTAGCAGATCATGTACTCTTGGATGATGGTTGCGGTAATATAAGATTGTGCTATGTTCAAAAAAAATATATATCACGTTGGCTTGCATTCATTTCAATTGTGTTCTTCTTGATTCAAAACTGCTGCTTTGGAAAGAAAACTACAAGTAATTTGTTTGCTAAATCATCATGTCTTTCAAGCCCATTATTCACCCTTTATCAAAAATCAATCTGACAAGTGAGTGTTAGAGGATTTGTGTTCGTGTGATACGGTTGTATACGTTGTTTGCCTTCAATGATAACAAGGCAATAAACCCAATAGAGATGGTATTTACAAGGAATTTACCTGTGCCACGCACGTATATTTATAGGATTTACAAGGAATTCTCATTATAATAAAGTCCTTCCTAAAATACAAAAGTTAAGTAAATAATAAAATGTGAAACTCTCCTAATAGGGCCGTGCATTACCCCATGAATCATGCATATCCATAAATGGTATGATATGATTTCCAAGAATAGATTATTTTCTTAACATATGGTGATTGACAAAATTTACGAAAAATATTATTAAGGAACAATTTTAAATAATACTAAATTTGAAAATTATGATCACGAGTATATTATTCATCACGTTACTTATATTATGTAGGTGTTGATGGCGATTGGATAGTAGTTGAGTTTTTGAATGAAATCAAATGTTCAGGAATCTCAAACCACAAAATAGTCTTGAAAAAAGGGGTACTAATTATGCTATTGAGGAACATTGATCAAACAGCTGGGTTGTGTAATGGGACAAGATAAATCGTTCAAGAGCTGCAAAATAATGTTATCGGTGCAATTGTGGTTTTGGGAAGTTGAGTCGGGGAAAAGGTTTACATCCTAGAATGAAATTGGTACCAACTGATCCAGGCCTACCCTTGAAGTTTCAAAAAAGACTATTCCCAATCGCCTTATGTTTTGATATTGATAGTGTAAATTATCGAACGGTATATCGTTTTAGCCGGGCAAAAACGATAAACTAGTTTAAAAAATACACCAAAATATAAACACGAGGATTTTTACATGGAAACCCAAATCGGAAGAAAACAACGAGCCTTTTTTGGAGGTACCTTGCCAACTGGGGATTTTTATTAATATCGGGGGTGTGTACACGGTACATGATTTAGGCTAGGAAGCCATTAATGAAGCTTTTGAGCTCTTGAAGAAAAAGAAAGATACACACTATTCTAGAGAGAGAGAAAGGAAGTGGGTAGGGGAGAGTGTAAAAAATTGGCCTCCTCAACATTGAGGGCAAACCCTCTTTTTATAGGGGAGGAGGGGAAGCATATTCGGGGAATATTCTCTTATTTCCTCATTTTATTAAACAGACCCGATTTGACTGTTCTTCGTAAAATAATTGGGAAATATGGGCCGAGCCACATATAATTTCCCATCAAGAAGTCCTCCACTTTTTTAAGTTGTGAGAATCATCAACTTAAAAAGTAAACAAGTCCTCCGAGTGCTATCTTCAGTTTTCGTACTTTGAATTTTTGACCGGTCGATATTGCTAGTCCTCCGAGTCTTCATTAATTCTCTAATTTCTTGAATCAGATATTTTTCCTGCAAAAAATAATACGTACAACATTTTTTTTGACCGGCATATGCCGTGCTCAAAAAATTATTATCTTTACCGAGGAGCTCGGTGTTAGGGTGATTAAAATTCACGTGAATTATTACCGTAACGAGAGCGATGTCAGTTCGATAAAGCAACGATGCTTTGAGTAGTTATACGACACCGGAGTTAGTATGATGAAGCGGCGGTGCTTCAAGTAGTTATTTTGTTGGGACCGTTGTTAGTACGATGTATAGAGAAATTAGTATATCGAAAAGACCGACGTTACTTAATATGAATTAGGTACGCTGCTGCTGCTTTATCGAAGATCGATGTAAGCCCGACTAACTGATGCAAATATCTTCATGTCATGTAGAGACCACTTCCGGAGTGCCTTGTTCAAAAGGCCTGAAGAATCGGGTGTCCCCGATAAGAGCTCAGCTGAGACACCGGTGTACCCAATTCGATTGGGTTCAGACTTACGAGAAACTATGTGCAAGACCGGTGTGTATATCATTCTTGGCCTGTCTCACGCACAAGAATGATATTTACCAGCGTGCCAGGACGGGCCTGTGTCACATATTTTAAATTTTTTTAATTATACTGAGCAAGACCGGTGTAGTAACCAGCGTGCTAGGCCAGGCCTGTGTCTCAGTCTTCCTCTTTTTTTTAATACTGAGCAAGACCAATGTTGTAACCAGCGTACCAAGCTCGGCTTGTGTCTTAGTCTTCCCTCTGAATTCGTCCAAAAGGTATGTGCAAATACCCAAATTATTGCTCCATAATGCTTGGATCAATGCTTGATGGGCCCAATTGCCAAAAATAAGTAAGAGAGCCTCCTTGGATTCCTCCTTTTGCCATGCACAGTTAATTTTTTCTTTTGCTTCGCCTTCCCCATCCCCTTTTTCATGTAATGTGGAATATGGTGGGACCACCCCACATAATCACATGTCATGTAATGTGGAATATGGTGGGACCACCCCACATAATCACATGTCACAGAAATTGGTTACATGGGTCCAACCAGATATAATTTTGATTTTACATCAGAATTTTATCGATCTAAAAATTATGAACATAAATCTTGACATTTGAAGATTTATATGGTCAAATCAAAAACTAGTTATTTTCACTCTAGTCGAATTTTCTACTACTTTCATCTTAGAATATTCGACTATTCGTTGTATTTGACTTTTGACAAAATCTACAGTAGATCTATAGTCCACCATGGACCTATATATGAGTAAATTAGGTATTTTTTTACTACTTAAATAAGCATTTATTTTTTTAAATAAAAAATAAAAAAAGATTTTTTTATGTGATAAGATCCACAAAATTGATATGCGCCCAAGGTGCACCAAAGAAGCACTATTGACTTTTTTTGCAATTAAACTTTATACGCTTTGATCATAAATTAAATTAAATTTATATTTAATCTAAACACAAGAATAATTTTATTAGATACTTCGTAAAATATTCTTAAATTATTATTTTATCTATTTAATATATCATGTAATTTGTAGTAAAAAATTGATGATAATTGATTACAAAAAGTTAAAAATACATAAATATAAGTCATGTTTGGTAAATGTCGGTTCACCCAGTATTTGGCATCTTTGACCACAAACGGCGGATTAGACTAGTCAAACTCCCAAATTAATTGTTTGGATAATGGCTTTTGGAATTGACATTTAGAACCGAACAACTAAAACTTGAAATGACAACCCTAGTAGCATTTTATTTAGAAGTTCACCCCCTTTTCCATTTCTTACCCTTTTTTTGGTGATGCGTCTCTCTGCGATCCTCACGGCACCGAAAATTTTTCTGACTTTCTCCCTGCAATTTCCTGACTAGTCGTGAGCTTGTCTGATTTTTTGTCACTTCTAATGCTCATGTCGTCTCAAAAGATGTTTGATACTTCAGATTGTGATGCTTGTCTCGAGTAATTTATTTAATTTTTTAACTTCAAATTGGTGTAGAGTATTGTATATATTTATGATATCATATTTAAAAAATTATAAAATAAAATATATCATGCATGGTTGTTATTTGTAGAATGATAAATGAGAAAAATACAAAAAAAATCTACTTATAAAATATAAATGTAAATTCTCATTTCTTAAATTAAAAAAAAGAAGTAGCCTTTTTGTCTAACAAAAAATATATATGTAAAGCATTTTCTTTTATGATGTGTGTATTTTATCATATTAAAAAAATTAAAATCATACACAAATTAAGATAAATGGAGGGATGTCTTTATATGTAATTTTACTAACAAAAAACTAACTATAAACAGCTAAAGTTGCCAAACATCTGCTCTGTAATTTTTAACAGCTAATAGAAATAACCGGTCAAAACAGCTAACTCAATCAGCCATTCAAACCAGCCAACATAAACAACTAACAACCAACTATCAACTGCCATGTTCCAAAGAAGGCCATAGTCCAGATAAGAAATACATCCCTGCCCCAAATTCTTTTACCACGTATGTTTTTGTTTAGTTTTATACGGGTACTTTTTGTAGTCGTCTCTATCAGACTATCTCTGACCCTCAAGCCACTCTTACGCTTCCAGTCGAATTCTAGTTTAATGGCGGATCTAAAGGGCGACGCTGACGACCTCCAATCTCTCCTGTCTTCTCCAGATAGGGATTTTCTGATTCGAAACAACGGTGATCGGGTAAGGAATTTCAGTTTTTATACATAAAACAAGTATTTTCTATATGGTAAAAAATATGCGGTTTAGATAGGGTTTCGACCTGCAAGTTTTGAACTGGTGATCGTGAATGCTCTTGAGTCTTGATGCTGGCGATTATTAATTCCTTAGAAACAAAAACTGAAAGCGTTGCTCTAGTACATTGTATTATGATATTAATTTAATATGAATATATTCTTATTGAAATGTAGTTTTGAAATTTTAAATTTTTATAAAATATATCTATGTATAAATATAAATATTAATGGTCAAAGTGAAACGTTGGAGACCGTGAAAAATCAAATGAGAAACATTTTGGGACGGAGGGAGTTTATATAAAAAGTTCTTCACTAACTAGCTATTTTATATTATGAAATGAGCGGTGGGAATAAGTAAATAAAGTTTGACTGTGCGAATAGTGTCTTCGAAATTTATTTTGGGACGGAGGTACTACTTGTTTGGATTTTTCAAACAGCTACTCCTAAGTTTTTTTGTTTGCTGCTTTAATGGATCCTCAAATGTCTACATAAAAAATAAAAAAGACTAAGAAACAATTCTGCTTACCTAACAATTTATATAGTAACAACTTGTCCAACTGCAGCCAAAGGTTTCAGTGAATCTCAACCATTCTTAAATTTGAAGTGCAATAATCTTTATATCTTTATTGTTTTATATTCTTAAATTTGAAGTGCTTTTGCCAGGTCAAAATTGAAGATTTGAAGGGGAAGAAGGTTGGATTGTACTTCTCGGCGTCATGGTGTGGTCCGTGTCGGCATTTCACCCCAAAATTAACAGAAGTGTACAATGAAATCCTTCCCAAAGGAGATTTTGAAATAGTGTTTGTATCTGCTGATGTGGATGATAATTCTTTTGATGGATACTTTTCTAAAATGCCTTGGACGGCAATCCCATTCTCGGATTCTGCCACACGTGACCGGCTGAATGGGTTATTCACTGTTAGCGGAATACCCCACCTTGTGATCCTTGATGAAAATGGGAAAGTGTCAACCAAAGATGGCGTTGAGATTATCTTTGATTATGGAGTTGAAGGCTACCCTTTTACTGCAGAGAGGATCAAAGAACTTAAAGAAGCTCAAGAAGCAGCCATCAGGAATCAATCCTTGCAAAGTATCCTTGTTACTCCATCGCGTGACTTTGTCATTGCAGCTGATGGGAAGAAGGTGTGGCTTTTATGCTTATATATGTTTTTATCGGTATTTATGTTGATCATTAAGATTCATTAAGGAGTATTTCATTTTTTTTTGTTATTTTCTTTTAGATTTCCTGAAATTACATTCTAGAAAAAGAAAATTACCATGGCTCATAGAATTTATGTCTAACATTTCGATGCCAACTTCTATAACTATTCACTCATTCATAGACTATTAGGGTGTGTTTGGTTAGAGTGGATAGGATGGAAAGTGATTCACTCCCCTTGTTTGGCTCAAAATATTCTTTTATTGTGGGACCCAATATTTTCCATATCTCCTTCTGGCAACATTTGGAGGAGAAGGAAGAGGAGGGAAGGTTTTAGTACCACATTAAAAAATGTTTCGAACCAAACAAATGGAGAGAATCGCTTGTCCTCCCATCCCTCCAAGCAAACAGGAACAAAATGGTGTGTCTAACAGGAGAGTCAAAGATAGGTTGAAAAGAAAACAATGTAATTTGTAGTGATGAGAAGAGCTAATTTTACAGGAACATAGCACAAAATCATATTTGGAGAGTGCAAAACATACTCCGTATTTAGGCATTGATCCTTACTGGGAGTATTGATTCTATATCTATGTTCTCTTTACAAGGTACCTGTTAATGATCTTGAAGGCAAGACTGTTGGCCTGTATTTCTCATTGTCTACGTTCCATCACTACTCGGAGTTTACACCAATGCTGCTTGAAGTATATCAGAAATTGAAAGAAAGGAAAGAAAACTTTGAGATTGTGACGATTCCCCTTGAATCAAATGAGAATGCCTTCAAGGAAGCTTTTAAAAGCTTGCCTTGGTTTTCTATTCCTTTTGGAGATCAGAGCCGTGATAAGCTAGTGAGGTACTTTGAGGTCTTTGCACCTCCCACCCTAGTCATCATTGGTCCAAATGGGAAGACTCTTCAGTCTAATGTCGCTGAAGCCATAGAAGAGCATGGCATCCTGGCATACCCTTTTACTGCTGAAAGATTAGCTGAGCTTGAAGAGATGGCAAAGGCTAAGAAAGATGCACAAACACTAGAATCAATTTTGGTTAAAGGAGAATCGGATTTTGTCATTGGAAAAGATGGGGCAAAGGTGAGATACCTAAGAAACTTTTTTTTTTTTGCCTTACTAGTCCCCTCCATATAGGTGAACATGATCCATCTGAAGAGATTTTTTTTCGTAAAAATTTAGCACACAATTCATATGGGAAATTGTGTTAATATTCAAAATCTGGGGGTACTTATGCAAATGTCACACAAACACACACTAATCTCTACTATATACATATTTTCCCAATATTCAAATTGTTCAACACGCTCAATCTCAAATAAAAGAGTTACCTAGTACAACTTTCAAATTTTATCAAGATACAAGAATACAACTATTGGAAATCACCGATTCTAGCAAGTTATTGAAATGTATTTGCTGGCTCGTCTATATTTAACATATTTGGATCGTAGTCTATTTCTGGGGAAAAATTACATTAAATATAAGCTTGTTTTGTCACACAGGTTCCAGTATCTGATCTTGTTGGGAAAACCATACTCCTTTACTTCTCTGCACACTGGTGTCCTCCTTGCCGTGAGTTTTTACCAAAACTCATAGATGCATACGGCGCGATCAAAGCAGAGGACGATGCATTTGAAGTGGTTTTCATCTCAAGTGACAGAGACCAGGCCTCCTTTGATGAGTACTTCTCCCAGATGCCATGGCTGGCCCTTCCTTTTGGGGATGATGAGAGGAAGGGGTCTCTGAGCCGCCTCTTCAGAGTCCGTGGGATCCCAACACTGGTGGCTGTAGGGAAGTCGGGCCGAACGCTCACCACTGAAGCCGTAGAAATGGTGGCGAATTTTGGCGCTGATGCGTACCCCTTCACTGAAGAGCGTCTGAACGAGCTCGTCGGACATGAGAGCGCGAGCGAAGACGAGGAGGAGAGCAGAAAGGAGTTGTGGGTTTGTAGTGATATAGTTTGTAAGAGGGCTTGAACAAGCTTTTATTAGTGGATTGTGGGTGGTTATGTTGCTATATATCACATCTGCTGCTTATTCTTGCATTTGGAGGGTATCTCCATGGTAAGTAAAACTATGGACTGGCTCCGATGTGTGCTTTGTATTCCTAAATAGGCAGAGATTTGCGGTTCTTGTGTCGGACCACTCGGACACCTCTCGACATTCCCCCTTTTCTGTGACTAATCTTTAACCAATAGGTTATGTGTAAAAGTATGAATATATATTGCATTATTGCACACACCCTGTCCTAGAAA